GCTTATGCCTTTTGGAAGAAGTTAGAAGATTTTTTTTACACCGGAAGGCCAATAAGAAGTTAGAAGATATGTACCAGGCCAAGACTGGTAGGAATAAGACCCTACTGATGAGGCGCCTTGTCAATATGAAGCTCAAAAGTGGAACTTCTGTTGCCGAACATACTAGTCATTTTCAGAGTGTGGTAAATCAACTATCTTGCGGTATAGAGGGTCACATGAAGAAGAATTGCTACAAATTGCTAGAGGAGCGAAGGAAGAGCAATTCACAAACGAAGAACAAGGCGGTGAAGCACTCATCACAATCTCAGGTGATGTAGCGTATTGTACTACCAATGATGAAACATGTTTGCACGTCTCAAGAGAGGACACTGAATGGGTGGTAGATACTGCAACATCTTACCACGTTACTCCTCACATGTACTACTTCACAACTTACAAACATGGAGACTTTGGAGCAGTGAAGATGGGTAATTCCAGTTCATATGGAATAGCTGAAATTGGTGATGTACAAATAAAGACAATTAGTGGGAGCACAATCACTTTGAAGGATGCCATATATGTTCTAAACCTTTGTCTCAATCTCCTGTCACTGGTATGTCTTGACGAACAGGGACATGAAAACCATTGTACAATCGCTCGAGGACATGTTTGTGGCACATTGTACAAAACCCATTTGAAGATTTATACGGATAGCCTCAACATTGCTGAGGAGGCTTCTCAGAATCTGTGGCACCTGAGACTCGGCCACATCGGTGAGAAAGGGTTGACTACCTTGATAAAGAAGAACCTTATTAACGTTGACAAGAATGATGCAATGGGTCCTTGCAGTCATTGTCTATTTGGTAAGCAACATAGAGTATCATTTAGTTCTACTTCAACTAAAAGAACGGAGTTGTTAAGTTTGGTATAGTACACTCCGATGTCTGTGGTCCTTTAGAGGTGGAATCACTCGGTGGAAGCAGATATTTTTTGACTTTTATCAATGATGCTTCTCGGAAAGTGTGGGTGTATTTCCTGATAACAAAGATAAGGTGTTTGAGTGCTTCAAGACATTTCACGTCTTGGTGGAACGTGAAACAGGAAAGAAGCTGAAATGACTCTGATCTGATAATGGATGCGAGTATACTTCTAAGGCTTTCGATGCATATTGTAGAACATATGGAATTTGACATGAGAAGTCAGTACCACACACCCCTCAGCACAACGGCGTTGCTGAAAGAATGAACCGAACTATCATGGAGCGAGCCCATAGCATGCTGAATATGGTTAAACTTCCAAAGTAATTTTGGGGAGAAGCAGTCAACACCGCATGCTATCTTATCAACCAATCACCTTCAGTACCACTCAACTTTGAAGTTCCAGAGAGGCTATGGATAGGTAAGGATCCTACATACTCACATCTTAGAGTATTTGGTTGTTCATCGTATGCACATGTATCCAAAGAGCTCAGACAGAAGCTTGATGTGAGAATTATCCCATGCATTTTTTGTTGGCTATGGAAGTGAAGAGTTTGGATACATGTTATGGGATCCTAAGGAGAAAAAAGTGATCAGAAGTAGGGACATTGTGTTCCACGAAGATTTGACAATACAAGGCATTGAAAACTCCACAATGTCTCATAAGTCAAATGAGGGTGCTCAAGTTTCAAATGAAGCACCAAAATTGTTCTTGAGAAACAATGACAAAGTGCATGAAAATAACTCAGAAGCATAAGAGGACGAGGAGACAGAAGATAGTGCATAGCAAGAGGAGTCAAAACCCACCTCGCGCATGCACAAATGATGGTAGCTCTTCTCAGATGGTTCCAACTATTCGTATATCTGAATGAGACCATATACCATCAAAAAGGTACACATCATCTGAATATATTTTGTTAACTGGAGATGGAGAACTGAAGAGTTTTCAAGAAGCTGTGTCTCATAAGGATAAATAAAAATGGCTCATAGCAATGCAGGATGAGTTAGAATATCTGTAGAAAAATCAAACTTATGAGATCGTTGAACTTCCTAAAGGGAAGAAGGCACTGAGAAACAAATGGGTGTTCAAGTTGAAGAAGGATGCAAGCGGACCAATGGTGAAACACAAAGCTCAGTTGGTTGTCAAAGGATTCCAGCAGAAGAAAAGAATTGACTTTGATGAGATCTTTGCACAAGTTGTCAAGATGACCTCAATCCGAGTTATACTTGGCTTGGTAGCAAGTATATTATGAACTTGGAACTTGAATAGATGGATGTGAAGACAACATTTCTTCACGGAGATTTGAAAGAAGAAATCTATATGCAACAACCATAAGGTTTTGAGAAATCAAATGATAACTTTGTGTGTAAGTTATCTAAAAGTTTGTATGGCTTGACACAGGCACCAAGGCAGTGAAATAAGAAGTTTGACTCATGCATGAAGAGTCAAGGCTACAAAAAGACTACTACATATGAGTGTGTATACATCAAGAAACTTCCAGACGACACCTTCATTGCTCTTCTACTAAATGTAGACGACATGTTGATCGTTGGGAAAGATGTAGTGAAAATAATCCAGCTGAAGGAAGAACTCTCCAAGTCTTTTGATATGAAAGACTTAGGGCCAGCTCAACAGATTCTTGAGATGCAAATAACTCGAGATAGGAAGAATCACAAGTTATGGCTATCTCAGGAGAAGTACATTGAAGGAGTACTTGAGAGATTTAAAATGAATGATGTCAAACCAGTTAGTGTTCCGCTTGCGAATCACTTCAAGTTGAGCAAAAGAACATGTCCCACATCCAATGAAGATATCAGGGAGATATCAGCAGTTCCATATTCTTCAACAGTTGGAAGTTTGATGTACGTCATGGTTTGCACAAGGCCAGACATCGCACAAGCAGTGGGTACAGTGAGTCGTTTTCTCTCTAACCCCGGGAAGGAGCATTGGGAAGCAATCAAATGGATTCTCATGTACTTGAAAGGTACCACGAAGGTATGTCTTTGCTACGGAGGAGCTGATCCAGTCTTGGAAGGCTACATAGATGCTGATATGGCCGGAGATATTGATAATAGAAAGTCTACTTCAGGATATATCTACACCTTTGCAGGGGGTCTATTTCTTGGCAATCAAGATTGCAGAAGTGTGCTGCTTTATCTACAACAGAAGCAGAATACATTGCTGCCGCTTGGTAAGGAAATGTTGTGGCTAAAGCGCTTTCTCCGAGAACTTGGGATTCAGCAGAAAGAGTACAAGGTACATTGTGACAGTCAAAGTGCTATAGATTTGGCAAGAACTCTATGTACCATTCTCGTACAAAGCATATTGATGTTTGGTATCACTGGATACAAGAGACGATTGATCAACAATTGTTGAGACTAGTGAAGATCAACACCAAGGAGAATCCATGTGACATGCTGACGAAGGTGGTGACACGAGATAAGTTAGAGCTATGCAGAGACATAGTTGAGATGCTTGTTTTGAATATGTTTGGAATGGGAGAATTAAAGAATTCAATTTCCAGGACATATCCAAGTACAGGCAAAATTGAAGAGTTCAATTGTGAGCAACAACCACGATGTTTCCTACACATCCAAGAATGACAAAGGAAGCTTCGACCCACCTAGGAGTCACCTTCCTCACACCTCCATTGAAGCTTCCTCTTAGCCTCGACACACCTCCCTTCTACCTTCCTAGTACCTAGTTTTGGTACTATAAATAGCAAGCTCGGAGAGTCTTTCTATCACCAAGTAAATTAGATAGGTCATCATAGCGCAAACAAGTTTGAGTTGTGAATATAATTGAGAGATATGTGAGGTGTTTTTGAGAGTTTTTAGTTAAAGCTTGTATGTCTCTTCCTTCTATTCTTGAAGGTAATAGAAAATTTTTTCTTTCATATTAGCACGATCCTGTTATTCCCAACACATATAACAGATACTATGAACAAAGAATCAAATTAAACACTAAAAAATGGAAGTATATTTCAAAACAGTTGCCTCTTAACAGTTGTACATTTATTTTCATGACATATTTATTTTAATTTATTTTAATTTATATTAATCACATTCACTACATAACAGAATTAACCATTACACCGAACGTTTTTTTAAACTAAACTGAATATGATAAAAGAGTCCTCAATTCTAGGTTATACCTCAATTTTGTCAAAGTTAATCATTACACCTCAATTTGTTCCACATGGTATATCTCTAACCTATGGTTTAGCAAGCAGCCAATAACAATTTTAGTGAAGCATAGGAACACCATACTAGTTCTAGGAACAAATGAAAAGGGTAGTAGAGAGAAAATCTTACCAAATTTGTCTCAAAAGTTACTTGGATTGGTTCAAAGTGAGTAATTAGTGGTAGTTTCAAATGCTAACCGGGAAGAAAATTAGCTGTTGTATTCTTTTATTACCTAATTTACACCTCTCAAATCGTCTAATAGGTGTATCACTCGGTCTTCACATGCACGTGCCCACCTCTCAAGTAACAACAATTTACACACATAAAATTTATTAAATGTGGTATGAGACAATTTAGTGGGACAAATTGAAAAGTAAAGATGAGACAATTTAAAAACGATAATTGTTCTCAATTGTGAACTATTCCTTCCATCACACTAAGACAATTTATTTTGTGAATCAGATCAAAATGTCGTCTATCATTTTGCAATTTCACAATTTATTTTGCAATTTCCCAGGTTACAAATGAGATAACAAATGTCGTCTATAAAGATGTGTTTCAAAATCTTTAAATTTGTATTTGATATTTTATGTTCGGAAATTTTCAACGTGTATTAATTATAAATTTAATTTTCTGATGTTTCATTTTTACATTTATATATTACATTTTGATTTATAATAGTCTTTCCGTCTCTTAAAACTTTGTCTATCTTTTCTTTTTGAGACGTTCAAAAAAACTTTTTCACTTTCCTTTTAATCACTTATTTTATGATTTTTATTATTACTTTCTCCTCTGCACAAACTTCAACTATACAATTTTTACTTTATAATTCTCCTTCCCGTCAACTTCTTCAAAATTGTAAGGAAGGGGTTATGAAAAAATGGAAATATGTGTGTGCACATCTCTCCTGTAGCCGTCGACCACACGAGCTGAGTCATGGCCCCGCCAAAAATCCTGCTCTGCGGCGACGTCTCCGGCCGTCTGACCCAGCTCTTCAAACGCGTCTCTTCGGTCTCTCTCTCGTCCTTCACAAGATCATATGTACACCATTGGGAATCTGGCAGTGCTGAGATTTTACTTAACCTGTATGTCTATTTTAGGTTAATAAAGTGGCAGGTCCGTTCGACGCACTGCTGTGTGTGGGGCAGTTCTTCCCCAACGCGGCTGAGGATTTGGAGGAGTTCAATGGATATATAGATGGCCGCTCCAAAGTCCCTCTCCCAACGTACTTCATTGGCGACTATGGGGTGGGGGCGCAAAAGATCCTCCTGGCCAGTTCTAAGGAACCGGGGAATCAAGGCTTTCAGATGGAAGGGTTGAAAGTATGCAATAACTTGTTTTGGTTGAAAGGCAGTGGAAAGTTCAATCTTCATGGTAGTGCCTAATAAAATATGAGAATTATATCGTTCTAACTATAATTTATGTGAACTAATGCATTTTTTAGGTTAATAAATTATATGCATTTATAATGATTTCATATTTGAGTAAATGAAGTTTTTTGTATATCCTGTTGGCTAGTGCTCTCTTTGATCTGATCAGTCATCATTGCATTTTTTAATGGAGAGCTATTAAGTGCTTCCTACGGAATGCATATGGCCAGCTTGGTATTTTCTTGGCTTTTAATTCACAACACCTGTATTCCAAAAACTCTGCTGTTAAAAGAGTGTATTGCCTTTAAACAACAACTGTAAAACCACTTTGAAGTCACAACATCCAAGAGATTCTGAGAATTTGACCACAACGCCTCAGCATATTGGTCATTGGTCATTGCTGGCCATTTAGGCTATGTTTGGCACGACGAGCCGGAACCTGAGACTAATGTCTGAATTAGAGGCTATTGTCTGACCAGAGACTATTGTCTGAAACTACAATTGGAACTACAATTTGAAGTGCTAGATCTGAATTGTTAAATGAATGAAGTAGACCTGTTTGGTAAAAAGAGCTGAAAAAGTATCGGGATAATATGAAATTACATTAAAGGGCATATGATTTATTAATAGAATAAAATATTTATAACAATCATTTTTATATTTTCAGCCCTTTAATATATGTATGCGCGTGTGTGTGTTAGATATACTCTAGAATAGACTATTACTATTGTTTAGTAACAAACTATATATGTTAGAGTTTGGTTAGAGTTAGTTAGTGGTTGACCTAACCGACCCTATATATACATTGTAATACTGCTTCAGATTATAATGAAATAACAATCTGCTTCAGATTATAATGAAATAACAATCTGCTTCTTCTCTCTCTCCTCTCTGTATACTTTCTATTATGGTATCAGAGTTGTAGCTCGATCCATGGCGATCTCCAATGATTCTTCCAATTCCAATTCTATTGCCAATTCCGGCAATTCTAAGTCTCTCGTAACCTTCGCACATTCACTCCCGATCAAACTTGATGCAAACAATTTTCTCTTCTGGAAGCATCATGTGGAATCTGTTGTTCGAGCGCATAAACTACTTCAATTCATTGTGAAACCGCAAATTCCGAAGCAATACAACTCCGACGATGATGAAACAAGTGGAAAAGTTAATAAAGAGTATGTTATTTGGGAGCAACAAGATCGTTCTCATGGTTGCTTGCGTCGCTTTCTGAATCCTTCCATGCTCGAGTAATTCACTGTAGATTCTCGCATCAATTGTGGAGTGAGATTAACGGTTACTTCAAGTCGCATATCCTTGCTAAAGCCAGACAACTCAAATCTGAGCTATATAATACTGCGAAAGGCGATCGTTCTGTCTCTGAGTATCGTCTTCGTATCCAGACTATTGCTGACAATTTACTATCAATCGGAGAACCTATTTCAGTGAAGGAGCACATCAATGTTATACTGGAAGGCCTACCGGAAGAATATGAATCTTTGGCGTCCTCAATTTCCTCGCGAAGTCTTCTACAACCTGTCACTTTATCTGAAATTGAATCTATGTTGGCTGCTAAGGAAATGAGACTGAAGAAGCTTCGTGAATCATCACAACAAAACCTGTTCTCTGCAAACGTGGCTCGTCTTGAGCCATCACTCTCAAATAATACTTCAGCTCCCGAAAACTCTTCAGAAAACCCTTCTGTTCAAGTTGCACAGTATAATATCCCTCCTAATACTGATTCCTACAGAGACAGAGGCCGTGGAGGTCCTGGAAGAGGTCGTGATTGCAGATATGGTGGTCGTAGTTCAATCATATGCCAAGTTTGTGGCAAATTTGGTCACCATGCTTTAATTTGCTACCAGCCTACCATAGGTTCAATCCTTCTTACACCATCTCTTCAAATAATCAATACAATCCTTATTCAAACTCTCAGTCTTCCACTCCTAATCCAGCTCCATTACTATTCCCTTATCAACCAAGATTTCCTACTAACCAATTTAATACTCCAACTTCTACTCCATAACTTCCTCACTGAAAACAACAACCATATACTTCTTCCCATATGCAACCATACAATTCATCAACTCAACAGTCTTATACTTCAACTCCTCAACAGCCATACAATCCTACTCCTAGTGCAGCTCGGGCAGCTTGGGCCTGTGCTACTCCTTCCATCTTGGGACCTGCTCCACAAAATCAACCATGGTATCCAGACTCTGGAGCTACTCCTCATGTAACCGCTGATCCTTTGAACCTGCAACATAGTGAGCCACTTGTCACAACTGATAAGCTCTTTATGGGCAATGGTCAAGGTTTGGATATAAAGTCCATTGGTTTTACTACCTTTCCCTCACCCTATAAGTCCTCTTTTATCTCTCTCTCAATAATATTTTGCCTGTTCCTTCTATAACTAAGAATCTGATTAGTGTCAGTCAATTTGCTAAGGATAATAATGCCTTTTTTGAATTTTATCCTTATGAGTGTTTCGTTAAATCTCAGGTTTCTAGATAGATTCTTTTACTTGGTATCCTTGGAAATGATTGTCTTTATAGGTTTCATTCAGTTCCAGTCCGAGCTACTCTACTCTACCAAGCAGAACACCTCCTCCTTTGTCACTCTCCAGTCCTAGTTCTACATCTTCTAGTACATTTCTATCTACTTGTAATAATGCTAAGCCATGTAGTACCTCTGAAACTTGTAATCTTTGGCATTTACGACTAGGTCATCCTCATTTTGAGGCTCTTAAATGTGTAGTTATAGCAATGTAATGTTCCTTATGTTAATAAAAATGCTGTTGAGTTTTGTTCTGCTTGTTGTTTAGGCAAGTCACACAAACTGCCTTCATTTTCTTCCACTACTATATACAATAAACCTTTTGAGCTCATATTCACTAACCTTTGGGAACCAACTCCATTTCTATCCTTTGATGAGTATTCTTATTACATAGCTTTCATAGATGCATCCACCAGATTCACTTGGGTGTACTTTTTAAAAAGAAAATCTGATGCTCATTCTGCATTTACCAACTTCTACAACTATGTTCTTAACCAATTTTCTGTCTCCATTAAGTCCATACAATCTGACTGGGGAGGTGAATTCAGATCCTTTAATCAATTGTTGTCTGAAAAAGGAATCATTCATAGGGTCATTTGCCCCCACACACACCATCAAAATGGTGTAATGGAAAGAAAACACAGAACTATTGTTGAAAAAGGTCTATCTCTTCTTTCACATTCCTCACTTCCTCTTAAATTCTGGGATACAGCCTTTGCTACTGCAGTCCATCTCATAAACAGAACTCCATCCAATTCTATTTCCAATTCTAGTCCTTATTTCAAATTGTATGGCTCTCATCCAGACTATTCCTTCCACAAAGTTTTTGGCTGCTTTTGTTATCACTAGAAACCATATAATAAACATAAACTTGTTTTCACTCTGAAGAGTGTATTTTCCTTGGATATTCCTGGGATACATTCATTAGACCATATAATAAACATAAACTTGTTTTCACTCTGAAGAGTGTATTTTCCTTGGATATTCCTCTACTCACAAAGGTTATAAGTGTCTATCTCCTTCAGGAAAGATCTCTCTCTCTCGAGATGTTATCTTTCACGAATCAAAGTTTCCTTATCTCACTCTTTTCCCCTCTACACCATCTTCATCATCTGAACCCTCACTGTCTGTTTCTGCTCCTATATCTATCTCTCTTCCATCCAAATCATCAACAATTACTTCCTCTGAATCATCCTCTCCTAATCATTCAAATCAGTCCTCTTCTTCAGATTCTCAATCTGATTCAAGTAATAAGAGTCAACATTCTTCTTCGGAGTCAGCTTCCTCAAATTCTTCTACTCCTGCAACCTTACCCAACAATACCACTCAGTCCTCATCTCCTATTTCTCTAATCTCCCCTACTCCTATCACCAACACTCATCCTATGAGGACTAGAGCAAAATTTGGGACAGTAAAACCAAAGCTTAATCCAACTTTTTTGTTAGCTCATACTGAGCCTAATTCAATGAACAAGCCCTATCTTCTCCTCACTGGTTTGAGGCTATGTAGTGTGAGTATAATGCATTGATTTCCAACAAAACCTGGTCTCTTGTACCCCTTCCTCCAGACAAACAAGCAATTGGCTGTAAATGGGTGTTTAGAATTAAAGAGAATCCTGATGGTTCCTTAAACAAATACAAGGCCAGACTGGTGGCTAAGGGTTTTCATCAAAAGTTTGGTACTAACTTTGGAGAAACATTTTCTCCAGTTGTCAAACCTGTGACAATAAGAATCCTTCTTACACTTGCTGTGTCTAACAAATGGTCTGTTCAGCAACTGGATGTCAATAATGCATTCTTAAATGGTGAAATTCATGAAGAAGTTTACATGGTGCAGCCTCCAGGTTTCCAAGTGAAAGACTCTTCTTTGGTCTGCAAGTTGCATAAGTCCTTGTATGGCCTTAAACAAGCCCTAAGGGCTTGGCTTCTCCTTGTATGGACTTAAACAAGCCCTAAGGGCTTGGTTTCTCAAATTAACTTCAGTTCTCTATAAAGCTGGCTTCAAACAGAGTTAATGTGATCCCTCCTTACTTATCTATATGTCCTCTGGTATTCAAATATACATTTTGATCTATGTTGATGACATATTGGTTATTGGAAATCAGTCTACTGCTACCCATCAGCTTATTGAAACACTTGACTCATCCCTCTCTTTGAAGCATCCGAGAGAACTTGATTTCTTTCTGGCATAGAAGCACCTATGGTTAGCACTTGCAAACTTACTCAAGAGGGCAGTAACTATCTCCCTAACCCTACTTACTACAGATCAGTTGTAGGTGTTCTACAATATGCTACTCTGACTAGACCTGATATATGTTATGCAGTCAACAAGGTTTGCCAGTTTATGGCTGCACCACTGCAAGAACATTGGCTTGCAGTTAAACATATCCTTAGGTATCTATCAGGTACCATTACACATGGCCTTATCATCAAACCTCTACCTCTGTCTTCTATACCTCTTCCAATCTCAGCCTACTGCGATGCAGACTGGGCATATGATCCCAAATCCCAATGATAGAAAATCTACATTTGGCTCATGTGTATTTCTGGGTCCAACATTGTTTCCTGGTGGTCAAGAAAGCAACTCAGAGTAGCAAGATCCTCAGCTGAAGCTGAATATAGAAGCCTAGCTGATACCACTGCAGAATTACAGTGGATTCAATTTCTTCTAAAAGAACTCCAAGTATCTTTCTCCATTCCCAAAGTGTACAGTGACAATCTTAGTACTATACAACTTGCTCATAATCATGTCTTACACTTTAGGATCAAGCATATGGAAATTGATCTCTTCTTTGTCGGAGAAAAGGTTTACGTGAAGCAGCTTCAAGTCTATCACATTCCGTCTCCCTATCAAATTGCAGATATTCTAACTAAACCACTCTCTAGCTCCAACTCTCTTGATCTAAGAACAACGCTTAGTGTGGTTGATACTATTAATCAATCACCTTTACTTTGAGGGGGGAATGTTAGATACTCTAGAATAGACTATTACTATTGTTTAGTAACAAACTATATCTGTTAGAGTTTGGTTAGAGTTAGTTAGCGGTTGACCTAACTGACTCTATATATACATTGTAATACTGCTTCAGATTATAATGAAATAACAATCTGCTTCTTCTCTCTCTCTCTCTCTCTCTCTCCCTCCTCTCTGTATACTTTCTATTAGTGTGTATACAATATTTTTGAATTTATACATGTATATATAATATATAATATAATAAAATACAGAGTACCCGTAGTATAATATATGTATGTGTATACTGTACTAAAAACTCCATACATAGTTACACAGGTGACATTCAAGGTATAGTAATTAAAATTTAAAACTCCATCCATAGTTACACAAGTGACATTCAAAGGTATAGTAATTTTTTCCATGCAGCACCAAAGAAAGCCGATAGTGCAAAAAGCCAACTTCCGATTGGAGAGGAGAAATGATTTGTATTAGAAGGGGAGAGTGGTGGAGGAACAATCGGCTATTTCGTGAGATTGAATAGGGATAAGGTGGGAAACGGAAGTCTGGAAAGTCAGGGCTGAATATAAACGTTTCATTCTTCAACGTTCCAGTTCGGCCCATATATTTCAGATCAATTCCACTTGAGCCCTTCAAACAAACACTTCAAATTTAATTAAAATTGACTGAACATTAATTATTTCAGCCCTTTTTGAACTTATGTGGCTTGCCGAACACAGACTTAGGCGTTTATATTATAATAAGTTCCCATACTTAAATCTTTAACGTTATTAAATTATACTTCCTCCGGTCCTAAATAAAGTTCAGTGTTTGACTTCACACAAATTAAGGAAATAAATGTGACTTTACTGCTGACACTGTTTGGCACTGTTTTGCACTGTTTTGCACTGTTTTGATGTAGATAATTTGCCAAATAAGGAAGGGAGAAGAAGTGTGAACTTTATTTTGGACCGCCCCAAAAAGGAAAGTGTGAACTTTATTTAGGACCAGCCCAAAAAGGAAAGTGTGAACTTTATTTAGGACCGGAGGGAGTGGTAAATTGCCAAATTTATATTATTATAACTTTATATTACAAATTGCCTGTTTTTCACAGCTGAGCTCAATGTTTTTTTTTATTCACAGTTCAGCTCATTATAACAACCAAACTGTCACATAAGTGAGCTAGGCTGGTGTGTTGGTTACAGCTGTGACAAGAAACAAGTGCAGCTTATTTATTGTTTAGCTCTTTAACCATACAGCTAAGTTTGATAACTTGATAGATTTTAAGGATTGCATGTAATTCTATTATTCCTATTTGCATTTTATGTTGCAGAGAAGCTCACAAGACAATAATCCCGTATTTGATGTGTCAAGATAGTTGACTGACTATGCATTAATATCCAGGTCTATCTGTGGCCTACTTATCTGGTAGGAAATCTGAAACTGGTTCTCAAGTGGGCACATACAGCCAAGATGATGTTGAAGCAATAAGAGCTCTAGCTGAGGAACCAGGAGTCATGGACATATTCCTCACATATCCTTATAATTTCTTAATGATATTTCTATTCTTGCTCTCTTTTTCAGAGTTTAAGTAAGCAGTCTGCGAGGAACGTTTGTCTATTTTCTTAATCAGATAATCACTAATGAATGGCCCAGAGGAGTCACAACCAGAGCTTCTGCCTCTGCTATTCCTCCAGGAATTTCAGACTCATCAGGCAGTGATTCCACAGTGTCTGAACTGGTAGCAGAGATAAAGCCTCGGTTAGTTAATTGGCATTCATTACTTATCTAAGATGGTCATAAATATTCCAGATTTGGTTATTGATTTGATCCCACTTCAATCATTGTAGATGAGGATTTTAAAAAGTTAAGGTACAATGCGTAATGTTTGTGTTTCTAACTTTTAATGTCATCCTATGACATGAATCTATTAAATTGGGTCATAGTTGTCATGGTGTATGACAGTGAACTGTTTTTTCGTGGATATGGCGATTGCGCAGTTTAGCATCACCACATTACACAAAAGAAGTATTAATGTGCACTATAGATAATATAAGAGAGAAAAGAGTTTACTAGCCAATTTCTAACCAAAACATACATAGGGATGTTCAAATAGTATAAAAATAACTTAAATATGTCAAAAAGGGCAGCTCGGTGCACATTGGCTCCCCTGAAAGGTGAGGGTCCATGGAAGGGTCCCTCTACAAGGGTGTATAAGGGGCAAGCCTTCTCTTGTCATTTTGACAAGAAGCTGCTCCCATGACTTGAACCCGCGACCTCTCGGTCACACAACAACACCGTAACCGGTGCACCAAGGTTCCACTTCAAATAACTTTAAAACCCAATATTATTGGAGTCACAACCAGAGCCTCTGGTATTCCTCATGGAATTTCAGACTCATCGGGCAGTGATTCATTACTTGTCTAAGATGGTCATAAATATTATGCTGTATGACAAATCCAGATTTGGTTTTTGATTTGATCCCACATCGTTCATTCTAGATGAGAATATTTAATAGTAAAGGTCACAATGTGTAATGTTTGTGTTTCTAATTTTAACCTCTTCCTAAGACATGAATCTAGATATTGAATTTGGTCATAGGTGTATGACAATGAACCGGTTTTGTGTGGATATGGCGATTGCACAGTTTAGCATCACCACATTACACAAAAATGTCTTCATGTGCACTATAGATAATTTAAGTGTGTAAAACAGTTCAGTAACCAATTTCTAACCAAAACATACATAGGCAAGTTCAAATAGTATAAAAATAACTTAAATACCTAAAAAAAGGCTGCTCGATGCACATTGGTGGCCCTGCAAGGTGAAGGTCCCAGGAAGGTCCCCCTCACAAGGGTGTACAAGGGGCAAGCCTTCTCTTGTCATTTTGACAAGATGCTGCTCCCAAGACTTGAAACCGCGACCTCTCAATCACACGACAACACCGCAACCGGTGCGCGTTGGCTTCCCTTCAAATAACTTGTATACCTAATAACAAAAAAATGCATCGGTCTGCCAAAATATGTGAATTTGTTGTTAAAAAAAATATTTGATGAGTAGGCTGTATAATATATCTATCGTGAATAGGAATTAGTATTACTTGATGATTATGATGTAAAATATATCTATTGTAGATAGGAAGTAGAAATATTTGAGGACTTGATTGTAAAATATATCTCTATTGTGTGTAGGAACATGTAGTAGAAATATTTGAGTACTAGGTTGTAAAATAAATGTATGCCTCGTATGCAAGCAAAAAACCAAAGATACCTAGATCTGATATGCGGGTGGAAAACAAACTGATTGAAGAATGAATTTTATTGAACTCCTTGCACAGTTTGGCTACAAGTAAAATTCGGAAGGTCGCATCCCCCACTAGTGTTCCAATGCCGACCCTTCAGAACTTTTCCTTTTCTCCTGTAGTTCTGTTTTTTATTCCTTCGAACTGCTCAGACAACCTCTTAGCCAATCCGACCCGATGTATCATCTTCATGCTCGTGCATATCAACATGGCGCTTCGACTCCGCTATTTAACACTCATTTATCTGCCAACAATCGGGGTCAGATTGGTGGTGCATATGGCGTAGCGATTGATAAATTGCTGATGGCGTTAGAAGACCTCTTTGCCACATAAATGCGTTATCATGACCAACATACATGTTGCGGCGCCATATTTGCACCGTTGATAACTATGAACTGGGTATAACCCACCTCAAAAAGATCCTCAAGATGTGAGGTTACATCATTCTTATATGTTAGGCTCAAATCACGTAAGCATTCGATGTGGACCTAACATCCAAATAGGCTGCCCCTAACCAGGGGCACCAAACAAACAAGAAAACCACAACTCACCTCAAAAGTGTCCTCTTTATAGGTGAGGTTTTGTCCACTTGTATATTAGACGCAACCTGGTAAACATCTTAACAATAGTATCGAGCTTCTAATAGTTATTTCCTTGGAAAATATAGAAACATCCAACCAAGTAGCATTTATATTGATGGATATTATTACAGAGTAATAAATTGGAAGGTAAAATTTGGTCGTTTGAAAGTTTGAAAGTTTGAAATTGGATAGCATTCAATCCGTTGATAGTTTGAAAGTTTGGTCGTTTGGTATATGTAAAATTGCAAACAGTAAGTCAGTTACATTTTTAATCTGTGGTCTGACCACCTAAATGGATTACACATACACAAAGGGAATTAAAATCTGAACATGACTTTAATCTTTGATGCATTCTATTTCTCATTTTCACATTCCAAATTCTCATCTTTGTTCTAACTGACTAGATTGCTACTTAAATTTTGAAACTCACCCTATTATAATGTTTTCCGTGTGTCAGGTACCACATTGCTGGAAGTATGGGTGTATTCTTTGATCGTGAACCATATGCCAATGCTAATGCTGCACATGTAACTCGATTTCTAGGCTTAGCTTCTGTTGGAAATAAAGATAAACAGGTTATATCATTGCTCGGCGACCTTTCTTTTATCGGTATAGAAGTGTACATCTTGTTAGAATATACATATTTAATAGTCAATATATTCTAGGGAAAATGGAAACTAATAATCCAACCTTTTAGCGGTCTTCTTACAATAGTCCCATCTTTTGATTATTCATGAATAATCCAACCTTTGCAACCCATCTTCATTCACTGGTCCCTGAGCGATTTATGACCTGTTATTTCAAGTTATTTTCTTATCTTTGCAAAACATTATGTGATCATGAGGTGGGAATTATGGTATAGTGTTTTACAAAGATAAGAAAATAACTTGGAATAACAGGTCACAAATCGGTCAGGGACCAGTGAATGAAGATGGGGTGCAAAGGTTGGATTATTCATGAATAATAAAAAGGTGAGACTATTGTAAGAAGACCACTAAAAGGTTGGATTATTAGTTTCCATTTTCCCTATATTCTATGTATATATATATGGTAGCTAATATATTCTCTGCGATAGACTAAGGATGTTTTTACTTGGACTGTAATTTGCTGGTCTGGTCTGGTTTCTTTGTATTTTTATAACTATCCAAGTCTAGTCTGGTCTGATCTGGTCTGGTCTGGTCTGGTCTAGGAGGAATTACAGTCCAAGTAAAAACATCCTAAATATCCTAGGTAAATCTGACAGATTTAGTTTCCTTTTTTATTCTCTAGCTTGTACTCCCTCCGTTCCTAAATAAACTTCCAACTTTCCCTTTTCATCCGTTCCAATTAAATTTCCACTTTCTTTTTTGGTAAAGAATTTGTGGTTCACAACATTTCTTACACATTTCTCTCTCATCTGCACAACTCTTCACCACACAATACCCACTTTTCTTAAATTGTGTGCCAAAGTGGGTTGGAAGATAAAATAGGAACGGAGGTAGTATGTATTTATACTGGCCATACCTAATGATAATGGAGCGTGATTTCATTGCATCTTTAATCCATATTACTCAGTTTACATGGTATCAGACACACACAGGTTCTTCGGGTAGTACTTCCCGAAGTTCGACTCTGCTCCCTCCCTCTGGTTCGGTTCAGCCTTCTTTTGTGCGACGCAGGACGTTGTTCGCAGGCGCAGGCGTATTAATCCGGATAGTACAACACAGTTGTCGCAGGTCTAAGGTCTGATTTTTTGGACACTATCTGCACCCTGTTCTTGTTATCACTCTTGCCCTAGTTGTTTGCAAGCATGGGTGATGATAAGAAGAGCGTGACTGAGATTACGGTCGGTAATGCTAGAATCACCGAGAGAAAACTGACTGGTAGTAAAGATTACGGGCAGTGGAAACGGACTATTACAAGATATGTTAATAGTCTTGATCTGGGAGATCATCTAACTGAAATGGCTCCTCCAAGAAGTAATCCTGATGAAAGAAAGAAATGAATGATGGCCGATGATAGGTTGTTCAATCAAATTCAGAATACCCTGGATCCTTCTATTGATAGTATCATTACTCATTGTGATACTGTCAAAGAAATGTGGGAATACTTGGAGTCTATGTATGCCAGTAAACAAGATCTCTCTTATGTTCATCAATTACTGATGCACTACTATAGACCGGAGATGAAGGACCAGGCGTTGTTTCAATACTACTATGAATGTAAACAGATTTTTGAGGAAAAGCGGTCCCGATTCCCTATTACTGTTGATGTTAAGAGTATGCAAGAACAAGAGGAGCAAACATTTGTTCATGGTGTTTTGGCTGGGCTTGGTCCACAATATGAGGTATCAAGGAGTCAAATACTGTCTGGTGGGACCCTTCCTAGTTTTTTTGACCTCTATGGACGTCTCCTTAGTCAGTGATGTGAGCCATGGTATCAAGGAGAATCCAGAATGATGAACTCGATTGATACTGCTGCCTTAGTCAGTGATGTGAGCCATGGTAAAAGGACCAATTCAGTCACTACTGAAGGGACTCGTAATTCTTCTCGTACATGTTATCACTGTGGAGCTGAGGGTCATGTGAAGAAGAATTGCTGGAAATTACATGGTCGTCCACCACAAATATCTGGACAGCCTCCCAGGCGTGTTGCTAATACGGTTATCCAGGATGGTATCCTACCAACTCCTTCCACCGTTACTATCTCAGTCGATGAATATGCTCGACTACAACAACTTTCTCTCACAGCCTCATCTGCCCCCACACAAGTTGATACAGGTAATCCTGTTGCATGCCTCTCTACATCATCACGTAATTGGGTGATCGATTCAGGCGCAACGGACCATATGACTGGTAATGAAAATATTTTGGATTCATTTACCTCTTCTGCTAACCAGTCTCATGTTACTTTAACAAATGGATCAACCGCATCTGTCAATGGCCTTGGAACAACAACTCTTTCTCCAAACCTTTCTCTATCTTCTGTTTTATATTTATCTCAATTTCCATTTAATTTAATCTTAGTCAGTCAGATTACTAAAGCCCTAAATTGCTGTGTTATTTTCTTTCCTGCTCATTGTCTTTTTCAGGATCTTGGGACGAAGCAGATTATTGGTAAAGGAAGACTGGTTAATGGCTTATATGTTTTTGAATCCTTGGTGCCGAGATCAGTTGTATGCACAAGTTCGTCTCTGTTGAAAGTTCACTGTCAATTTGGTCATCCATCTCTTTCTGTACTACAAAAAAATGTGTCCTAGTCCGTCACGAGAGTCTGTTTTGGAGTGTGAAGCATGTCAGTTTGCTAAGCATCATAGAACAACTTTCCATCCTCGAATAAATAAAAGTGTTGAGTCTAGTTTTGATTTAGTTCACACTGATGTGGGGTCCTTGTCCTGTCGTTTCCAAACTTGGTCATCGTTATTTTGTTACATTTGTGGATGATTTTCCACGGGTTACTTGGCTTTATCCTTTGAAATCCCGTTCATATGTGTTTACTGCATTTTCTACCTTTCATGCTGAAATTCAAACTCAATTTAATAAGAATATACACATTCTGAGAAGTGATAATGCTAAAGACTATTTATCTAGCACTTTTCAGACTTACTTATCAGTCTTATCTCGCCATGGGATTTTACACCACACTTCTTGTCCCTATACACCTCAACAAAATGGTGTAGCTGAACGAAAGAATCGTCACCTACTAGAAGTAGCTCGAGCCTTAATATTTCACATGGGGGTTCCTAAACCATTTTAGGTAGACGTTGTTTCCACTGCGTGTTACCTTATCAATTGTATGCCTTCTTCTGTTCTTCATGGTCAGATTCCATACTCCGTGTTATTTCCCTCTCAGCCTTTGTTTTCTCTTGTGCTTCGTGTGTTTGGTTGCACATGCTTTGTCCAGGATATGCGTTCCCAGGTCTCAAAACTTGACCCTAAATCAATCAAGTGTGTTTTTCTGGGTTATTCCCGATTACAAAAAGGATATCGATGTTATTCTCCTTCATTGGGACGATATATTATCTCTGTAGATGTCACATTTTTTGAAGAAACACCCTTCTTTCAGCATAGTTCATCTTCATCCCCTTCCTTTGAACTCTCTAATGATGAGTTTCTAGTCTATACCACCAGCCAGCTAGAATCTGTCCCCCCAGTGAGGTTTCCCCGCCAACTTTCCTTCCTCCTCCACCTCCTCCCCTTAAAGTTTACTCTCGTCGTGTGAGCCCTGTGACTACGGCACCTACTATGGCTACCAGCGTACCATCGCCATCTTCTGCTTCGCCTCCAGATTTTGCTCCCTCCGACCTTGATCTCCCAATCGCCCTCCGAAAAGGTACCCGTACTTGTACTTATCATGTTTCTTCCTTTGCTACTTATAATACATTGTCACCTTCTTCCAAGAGCTTTATTGCTTGTTTAGATTCTATTGTTGTTTCTTCAAATGTTTCTGAGGCCTTGGCTCATCCTGGTTGGCAAGAGGCAATGCGAGAGGAGATGACGGCTCTCGATCAGAACCACACATGGGACCTTGTATATCTTCCACCTGATAAGAAAGCTATTGGGTGTAAATGGGTGTTCACTGTCAAAATGAATCCTGATGGTTCTGTTGCTCGTTTAAAGGCACGGTTAGTAGCTAAGGGTTATGCTCAGGCATATGGTATAGATTACTTTGACACTTTCTCTCATGTTGCCAAACTTACATCCATTCGATTGTTTATCTCTTTGACTGCTACTTACAATTGGACACTCCATCAACTTGATATTAAAAATGCCTTTTTGAATGGTGACCTTAGCGAGGAAGTATACATGGAGCAACCACCAGGGTTTCTTGCTCAGGGGGAGTCTGGAAAGGTATGTAAATTAAGGAAATCGTTGTATGGTCTGAAACAGTCCCCACGAGCTTGGTTCGGCCGCTTCAGTGCTGCAATATTTAAATTTGGCCTACGCAGGAGTGCCTATGATCACTCAGTCTTCTTCTCAACCTCAAATTCTGGATGCATTCTATTAGTTGTGTATGTTGATGACATCGTGATCACTGGCAGAGTGGCAGTGATGTGAGTCGTATTTTGAAACTGAAAGCTTTCCTTGCTACTTGCTTTCAGACCAAAGATCTTGGGCCCTTGAAGTACTTCTTAGGGATAGAAGTCTCACGAAGTAACAAGGGAACTTACTTGCCTCAAAGAAAATACTGCCTAGATGTGCTAAATGATGTAGGTTTGGTTGAGGCAAAACCGTGTGATGCTCCGATGATCCCAATTGTAAAGTTAACATCTGATGAAGGCGACTTGCTGGAAAATCTTGAGGCATACCGAAGGATTGTTGGGAAACTGAATTATTTGACTATCACTCGACCTGATATTGCTTTCCCGGTCAGTGTGGTCCACTCCACGAACATCACACTGGGATGCAGTTACTCATATCCTAAGATACTTGAAGGGGGCTCCAGGGCGTGGAATACTATATCAAAACCACGAACATCATGTTATTGAAGGGTTTACTGATGCGGACTATGCTAGAAACCCTAATGATCGACATTCCACCACTGGTTATTGTGTCTTTGTTGGAGGAAACCTTGTATCTTGGAAAAGTAAGAAGCAAAATGTTGTCTCTAGATCAAGTGCAGAATCTGAATATCGAGCTATGACACAGACTACATGTGAGCTGGTTTGGCTTCGGCATTTGCTTGGTGAACTTGGATTTGCTCAAACAGAACCCATGAGATTATGGTGTGATGATCAAGCAGCTATCCATATAGCAAATAATCCTGTTTTTCATGAAAGAACAAAGCATATCGAAGTTGATTGTCACTTTACACGAGAAAAGGTAGAAGATGGTACAATTTGCACTTCACACATCAAAACAGGACACCAACTGGCAGATGTGTTCACCAAGGCTCTACCGGGGTCTGTACCAAGCTGAGCATGATTAATATCTATGCTCCAGCTTGAGGGGAGTGTTAGAATATACATATTTAATAGTCAATATATTCTATGTATATATATGGTAGCTAATATATTCTCTGCGATAGACTAAATATTCTAGGTAAATCTAACAGATTTAGTTTCCTTTTTTTTTATTCTCTAGCTTATATGTATTTATACTGGCCATACCTAATGATAATGGAGCGTGATTTCATTGCATCTTTAATCCATATTACTCAGTTTACACATCTCATTTGTTTCTTTGATTTTGACATCCTTCGTGCATTTTTATTTTGCTAATGGTTTATATCCTTTTTGGTAATTATTATTACAACTGATAGTTGATAATGATTTTCTGGAAATAAGTATAATCTGATTTAAGCAACACTACTAGACCATGACACGTTTAAACCAGTTAGGGTCTAACTGTCTAAGTGGCGCTGAACATCCTCTCAAAACAAACCTAAAAATAGTTTTTCTTTCTTTTTGTTAATGTCATTCTCTTTCATATGGGTTCTGATCCATTCAAAGATGAGTTTGTCTCTTTGTGCAATTGTTTTAGTTGATTTTTGTGACTTTGTGCTTGTAGATACTAATCTTTGATTTTGAAAGAGGATCACTAACTTGATTTCTAAGTCTTTTTTATCTTACATGAAAGATGCTAATTTTTTTGACTTTGGAATATGATGGAATAAAGCAAAATGGCTCACTAAAGTGTATGTGCTTCTTTGTGCTTCTTTGTTATGAAGCAGTTGTCAATCTATGCAATTTTTGACGCGATTTTCATCATGGGTCATATGAAAACAGTCTCTTTGTGATTTAGTATAGGGGTAAATCTGCGTACATCCGACCCCCCCTACCCCACCGTAAGTGGGAGCCTTCGCGGAACTGGGGTAATGTTGTCTTTAATGTTGAAAGATGCTAAATTTGTTTCACTCGTGCTGTTATGATGGTAGATGCATTAACTGGGTGTATGAGCTGTAGGCGCTAGAATTAGGATTTTTTGGGGTAATGTTGGTTTTTAGAGTCTCTAATGAGTAAAGGAGACTTTTTAGAAAAAATGCAACCACATTAAAATTCGAAACCCTTAAATACGTATATTCCATCCCAGCCCTAAATAATATGTCGTGTCTTTTCTGCTTCTTTTACAATGAGAGTCGCATCTCAGAAGCCTACCGAAAATTGCAACGCCCAGTGTTTTTCCACTCCATCTTCAACTGCTCTTCTTCTTATACTTTCGACTCTTGTCTATATCTCAATCTGGAGATTGCTTTTTAGCATGTAGCCTATTGCCATTGTTAAGCGAACATGACATAATCTTGACCCTGCCTGGCAATGGAATAGCTTGAAAGATTTAAAAGACAAGAAGAATGTTACCTGTGATTTTTTAATCTTTAGGATTAAGTTATTCTACATATTAATATCATCGTATGCTTTATTTAACACTATTGAGTTTTTATTTGTAATTTGGGATTAATTTTATCAAGAAGTTTGAGACTTTGAGTAATATTTATCACTTTTTGGACTGGAGATGTGTATGCTACGTAATTATATGCATATATATAATTACAATTATGTATTTTGCATAAGTTCCATCATTTGCAATGGAGCCAAGACTCACTATTATTTGCTTGGGAATATGATGAAATAAAGCAAAATGGCTCACTAAACTGTCTGCACTTCTTTAATATGAAGCAGCAATCAGTCCATGCAATTTTCGACGCGTTTTTCACTATGGGTCACCCGTAAGTAGTCTCTCTGTGCTTTAGTACAGGAGTAAAGCTGGGACCCCCGACCCCCTTACCTCACCGTAGGTGGGAGCCTTTGCGGAACTGGGGTAATGATGATGTATTCTGCATAAAACGTGGTCATCCGCTATCCGCTATGGCGCTATACTGATATAGCGTTATTGGGGTAGGCCGCTGTGCTCTGCTCTCCGGGATTGAAAACAGTGCATGACAGTATCATACACATTTAGTAAGAATTATTGACTGCCACAAACTTACAAGGGTTGGATATCTTATTTTTTTCTCTGAATAATTTTTATCTTATATAAATAACATGCATAACTGTACTGATACTGTAGAGACATAACAATGTACTGTTTTCTAAAATCTGATGATTCACAATATCCATTTATTGCTTTCCAGAAATTCATTCATGCAATTTCTCCTACTCCGGCAGCTTCAATGTCTAAAGTTGAGTTGAGCACAAACCCACCAAATACTACTTTATCTCCATATGCTGACAAGGCTACCCCAACTGAGGGATCAACAAAAAGACCCAGTGATAATACTCCTGATTCACAGTATTGGAGATATGATGCTTCTCATAAAAGACAAAAACACGGAGACGGTGATGCTGATAGGTTGTGCTTTAAGTTTGTCTTATCTGGATCTTGTCCACATGGGAAGAAATGCCACTTTAGGCATGATGAAGATGCAATGGAACAGTACATGAGGGGTGTGTGCTTTGACTTCCTTACCAAAGGGAAATGTGATAAAGGTCCAGATTGCAAATTCAAGCACACTTTACAAGATGAATCTGATGTACCTCAATCCAGAGTGGCAATTTCCAACAGGTTGATATGCTTGAATTGTCTTTGCATCTGTATATGTACCTACTAGGGATATACTACAGAACGAACATGGGGAGGAAAATAGAGGGAAAAGTTTGAAGCAAAGAAAATTAGAGGGAAATTAAAAAATAGACTCCATACATAAATTTTAGATATTATCTTCAAAATCATTTATTTTTCCATCATTTGCAATGGAGCCAAAGATTCACTAATTTTCGGCTTAGGAATATGAAGCAATAATCAGTCCATGCAATTTTTGATGCGATTTTTACTAGGGGTAAAACTGCGTACATCCGACCCCCTACCCCACCGATGGTGGGAGCCTTTGCGGCATTGGGGTAATGATGATGATGATCTAGGAAGCACGGAAACGTGAAACCACTTCAGGTTTCCGTTTCGGAAACGTATCGGAAACGGGAAACGGCTGGAAATTGCCAGAACCCCCAATCCGTTCAATCGCACTGAACTCTGTCACTTTGAAGCTTGAAACGACGAATCGGCACACAAACCTAAATAGATGACGGGAATAGCTCAATCGCTCATGCAGACGGAATCACAATCGAACGGCTGAGAAACTGAGTCGCCGTCGCAGTCTGAGGTAGATGGGAATCTCACTCGCAAACACAGACTCCGGCCTCCAACATCGCAACTAGTAGACGCAGCCTGAGGCTCGCAGAGAAGGCTCAGAAGCTTATTGCAAACATAGAGTTTTAGGCTACGCTGGATTTTGGGCTTTGGCCGACTCCTCTATTCAGCAGAGTAAGTATGGTTCTATGTATGTAATAACCCAGAGAGGACAGAAACATGACATATATTTGTTTTTATTTGTAAGTTTTTTTTTTTAATTTTTACTGCCATACCCATATCTTGACGTTTTAAGATTAGAGTTTCTCCGTCCCCGTTTCCGTCCCCGCTTTCGTTTTCGTTTCCGTCCTGGTGCTACTTAGATGATGATCTTTAAAATCATTTTTTTTTTGAAAGAAATGAGCTTAATTAATATTAATCAAATCGTTGGCTAAAGCTGAAACAATAAAAGGAGAAGAATGAAGCCAGGACTGCTGTTAGATTTATCAAGATTTATTGGTAGCTAAATAGACTCCTCTGTATTTTCTAGAACTGATCTTTCATCTTCTTTGACCTTTCATCTCCTCACTCTCATTAATGTACTTGTACACTCATTATTATAAATAAAGGAGTTCAGGGTTGTGGACAAACACACAACCAGAAAATTATTCTCTTCCTTTAACTCTCTTTTATTCAAGTTGGTATCAAAGCCCGGTTTTGCCATCTCTATCCAGCCCTGGCCGCTGCTTATCGTCGCAGACCTAACGTCTTTGTTTCTATATGGCTTCCGGTCCAACCCAACTCTTCTCTGGAACTCCTTCTATCACTTCAGAGAAGCTTAATAGGAAAAATTATATGTCTTGGCCAGCTGCTGTGGAACTTTGGTTTCTGGGACAAGGGTACCATGACCATCTTGAAAAAGATGAAAATTAGATTACCAGTTGTGTGCTCTATTATGGCAGTCTGTAGAACCCAATATTTTAGGGACCCTCAGAACCTTCAAAACTTCCAAGATTTTTTGGAAGAAAGTCCAGGAGATCTTTGCAAATGATATTCAGCGCCTATATGATGCTGCAAACAAGTTAGCATCTCTTAAACAGACAGATCACAATATGATGTCGTTCATTGCCGAAGCGCAAGCTGCTGCCGAAGAACTTAAGAGATGTCCTTAGAAGCTGAATCTGTAGAGGAAACCAAGAAGAAACTGGATAAATTTTATATGGTAATATGATCCTCCGAGCCATGAACTCTGATTTTGATCACGTTAGAGGGCGTCCCCAATGTACCCATTGCAAAAGAATGGGTCACACCCATGAGAACTGCTACTTTCTTCACGGGTTTCCTAATAAAACCGCCAACTTCTCTAAATCTAAAGTTTCTGATGTTTCTGATCCAAAACTGTCTGGTGAGGAATACCAAGAGTATTTGAGACTAAAGTCCAACAACTCAGCAGAATCTTCCAAAACTCCGCTTACATCAACTGCTTGCGTTTCACAATCAGTAGAAAGTCAAAATCCATGGATAATTGACTCAGGTGCTTCTGACCACATTTCTGGTAATACTTCTCTATTCTCTTCGCTCTCACATCTTAAACACCCACATCTTATAACCATGGCAGATGGATCCAAAACAGCTTCCCAAGGAATTGGCCAAGTATCCCTTTCTCCTACCTTGAACTTAAAATCTGTTCTTTTTGTCCCCACATGTCCGTTTAACCTCATTTCATTAAGCCAATTAGCAAAGTCATTGAACTGTACTGTAACCTTTGATGCTAATTCATTTGTTATACAGGAATGTGGAACGGGTCGGATGATTGGAGAAGGATATGAATCTAGAGGTCTCTACTATTTTGGAAACAAATCACCCGTCTCTTGTCTAGCTACTCCTTCTCCCAAACTCTTGCATGAACGTTTCGGGCATCCACATTTAGCAAAATTAAAGAAAACGGTTCCTGAACTCAGCGGTCTTCAAACCTTAGAGTGTGAGTCTTGTCAGCTCGGGAAACATGTTAGATCTTCATTTCCCAGCTATTCTGAGTCTAGATGTAATTCTGCATTTTCTATTATCCATTCTGATGTTTGGGGACCAAGTCGGGTTTCCTCTTTTGGTTTCGAATATTTTGTCACGTTCATTGATGAATTTTCCAAGTGTATTTGGGTTTATTTAATGAACGACTGTTCTGAATTTTTGTCTATCTTTTCCTGCTTTCTTGATGAAATTTGCAATCAATTTGGAACAGTAATGAAAATTTTAAGGAGTGACAATGCCAAGGAATATTTCTCCTCTGGTTTTTCCTCCCTCTTAAGCTCACATGGCATTTTACACCAATCCACCTGTCGTCATACACCTCGAACAAAATGGTGTAGCAGAAAGGAAAAATAGACACTTGATTGAGACTGCCCGTACTTTATTACTTGGTGCCAATGTACCAGTTCATCATCGGGGAGATGCTGTCTTAACTGCCTGCTTTCTTATTAACAGAATGCCATCCTCTTCTCTTAATAATAAAATCCCTCATTCTGTCTTGTTTCCTAATGAACCTCTCTTTCATGTTTCCCCTCGTGTGTTTGGTTGTGTCTGTTTTGTTCATGATATGTCTCCAGGATTAGATAAACTCTCGGCTCGGGCTGTCAAATGTGTTTTCTTAGGTTATTCCCGTCTTCAAAAAGGGTATCGTTGTTACTCTCGTGAGAATAAGAGATACTATTTGTCTGTCCACTTTCTTTGAACGAACTCCTTTTTTCTCAGTTAGAGATCAATCTGTCTAGCAAGTTCTCCCTATACCATCTCTTGAGCCCTTTGTTCCGTCTATTGTCAATGACTCCATTCCCAACCAGTCTCCTTTAGATCCAGTAGATGACTCAACCAACCAAAGTCCTCCTCTTATTACCTACCAACGTAGGACCCGACAAACCAATTCAATTCTTCAAAGTGAGCCCTCTTCAGCAGATCCTTCTCAATCATCACCCTCTTCCACAATTCTTGATATTGATGATTTAGCTTGGCCGGTTGCTCTCAGGAAAGGTACTCGCTCTACCCGTAATCCACATCCTATTTACAAATTCTTTAGCTATCATAGACTTACTCCTTCCTATTGTAACTTTATATCCTCCGTCTCCTCAATCACAATTCCCAAAGATGTGAAAGAAGCACTTGATCACCCTGGATGGCGACAAGCCATGATTGCAGAAATGCAGGCTCTTGAACATAATAAAACATGGGAATTAGTTCCGCTTCCACCAGGAAAGAAAACAGTTGGATGTTGATGGGTTTATGCCATTAAAGTTGGTCCGAATGGAGAAGTGGATCGTCTCAAAGCCCGGTTAGTTGCCAAGGGATACACCCAGATCTATGGCCTTGATTATAGTGATACATTTTCTCCGGTGGCCAAAATGACTACTATTCGTCTCTTTTTTGCCATGGCAGCCATTTGTCATCGGCCACTTTATCAGCTAGACATAAAAAATGCATTCTTACATGGTGATCTGGATGAGGAGGTCTACATGGAGCAACCTCCTGGGTTTGTTGCTCAGGGGGAGTCTGGTTTGGTGTGCAAGTTACGCCGCTCTCTTTATGGTCTAAAGCAATCTCCACGAGCTTGGTTCAGAAAATTTACTTCTGTTGTTCAAGCGTTTGGGCTGAAATGTAGTGAAGCAGATCATTCTGTTTTTTATTGCCACACTTCTCCTGGTAAATGTGTTTACTTGATAGTGTATGTGGATGACATTGTTATTACAGGAAATGATGTTGCAAAAATATTTAGCTTGAAGGAACACTTGGGCAGTCATTTCCAGACCAAGGATCTTGGGAGTCTCAAATATTTCTTGGGTATTGAAGTTGCCCAGTCAAAAGAAGGTGTTGTAATCTCTCAAAGGAAATATGCTCTTGATATGCTAAAAGAAACGGGAATGATCGATTGTAAGCCCGTAGATAGTCCTATGGACCCGAATCAAAAGTTATTGCCAGAACAGGGAGAGGTGTTTTCTAATCCAGAGAGGTATAGACGGTTGGTTGGGAAGCTCATTTACCTCACTATCACTAGACCGGATCTATCATTTGCAGTGGGTGTTGTTAGTCAGTTTATGCAAGCGCCATACACTGAGCATTGGAACGCTGTCATTCGCATCCTAAGATACATAAAAAGGCTCCAGGACAAGGCTTGCTCTATGAAGACAAAGGGAACACTCAAATCCTAGGGTATTGTGATGCTGATTGGGCAGGGTCTCCTGTGGATAGACGATCCACTACAGGATATTGTGTCTTTCTTGGAGGAAATATTATTTCTTGGAAAAGCAAGAAACAAAATGTAGTTGCCCTATCCTCCGCTGAAGCGGAATATAGGGCAATGGTGTCTCTCACTTGTGAGCTCATATGGGTAAAACAGTTTCTTCAAGAGTTAAAGTTCTTAAAGTTCTGTAAGGTTCAACAAATGAAGATGTATTGTGATAACCAAGCTGTCCTTCACATCGCCTCAAATCCGGTGTTCCACGAGAGAACCAAACACATAGAGATCGATTGCCATTTTGTTCGGGAACAGCTGATGTCTAAAGAAATCATCACCGAATTTATTGGGTCCAATAATCAACTTGCAGATGTGTTGACAAAGTCTTTGAGAGGTCCTCGAATTGAATTTATTTGTTCCAAGCTTGGTACATACAATTTGTATGCTCCAGTTTGAGGGGGAGTGTTAGATTTATCAAGATTTATTGGTAGCTAAATAGACTCCTCTGTATTTTCTAGAACTGATCTTTCATCTTCTTTGACCTTTCATCTCCTCACTCTCATTAATGTACTTGTACACTCATTATTATAAATAAAGGAGTTCAGGGTTGTGGACAGACACACAACCAGAAAATTGTTCTCTTCCTTTAACTCTCTTTTATTCAAGTACTGCAAATCAGACAAAGAACAAGCCGCTATCGCTAACAAATTTCATTTTCATTTTCATTTACCCCAGTGTCGCAAAGGCTCCCACCTACGATGGGGTAAGGGGGGTCGGATGTACGCAGCCTTACCCCTGTACTAAAGCACAGAGAGACTGTTTCCGGATGACCCATAGTGAAAATCCCGTCCAAAATTGCATGGACTGACTGCTGCTTCATAACAAAGAAGCGCAGACAGTTTAGTGAGCCATTTTGCTTTATTCCATCATAATCTCAAGCCAAAAAATAATGAATCTTTGGCTCCATTGCAAATGATGGAAATATTCGCTGACCGCTTAACATGACAAAATAAAATATTGGAGAAAGAATTCGCCAAGTCCCTTATGTCTTCTCTCAGCAGACCCACCAATGAACAACTTGATCCGTTTAGAATTTCGGAAATCACCCCGTTGCATCGGATTCTACCTCGATTGAGGCCCCACCAAAATCTTTCAGCCAACTCAATGCCTCTCTAATCCCGACCAGCGCTGCGCCCAATGGTAGTAATCTTCCCGGCTATACCTTGGCCGCTCCAGCAATGAATTGTCCATCGTCACCCGAAGGCACCAGCCTAGACCGAAACTGTCTGCACTGGTTGCCGCATTGACGTTCAGTTTCCAGAAGCCGAGAGCTGGTCTGCACCAGGATATCCTGCTCTGCTACGCGACCTGCTGTCTCCTTCCTCGCAAGACCTGCACCTGCGCTCGCTTCCAGCCATCCATCTCAGATCAACCTCTCTAGCTCCTCCGTCTTCTTTGTCTTGAATGCCTTGTTGACTTGGTCCAAGAAGTACAAATCCTCCCCAAATATCCACTGCCACCGGATGTCCATCCAAAGTTCCTGGGCAGCAGCACAATGTCTAAAAGATGCTCCAATGATTCAGCATCAGCTCCACATAATCCACAAAGCTCCGAACAGTCAACTCTACAAGCCTGCAAATTTAATCGCGAAGGAAGACAACCGCTACAAACCTGCCAAAAAAAATATTTTACTTTTAGGTGGGAGTTTAAACTCCCACATAACAGTCCATTCCACATCAGATTGTCCCCCCAATTCGCCCACAATTTTTCGGTAGCAACTGCGCACCGAGAAATTCCCGCTTTCCTCCCATCTCCAACATAAAGAATCCTTGATTGGAATCCTTCTCAGAGGTATTCCCTGAATAATATCCGCATCTCTAGCCTCAAAAATATCCCCGATAATATTCACATCCCATTCTCTTTGATTTATATAAAACAAATTTGCCACCACCGCCTTTTGCAGCCCCTCACACTTTTCTAAAATAACCCTCGGATTTTCTCTGTCTGGAAGCCACGGTTCCTCCCAAATATTGATGGAATGACCGTCACCCACTCTCCAATAATAGCCATCCCGAATAATAGTCTGGGTATGAAGTATACTGCGCCAGACAAAGGACGGGTTGCTACCAGGTTTTGCTTTAAGAAAATCCCCCGTCGGAAAGTATCTAGCTTTATAGACTCTACCCACCAAAGAATCTCCAGGCTTGCTTGGATAACATGGCAAGATTAAAATCCCGGAGTCTTCTAAAGCCCATTCCGCCCGCTTTTTTTGGAACACAGAGAGACGCCCAATTCTTTTAGTGAATTCATCTTCCTGCCGTACCTTTCCACCAATAACCATTCATAGCATTTTCAATCTCACGACAAAGGTCAACAGGCAACGAAAAGACATTCATAGAATAAGTTGGCATAGCTTGAATGACAGCCTTCAAGAGAACCTCCCTACCAGCCTTAGATAAAAATTTATTATTCCAGTTATTAATGCGGGAGATTACTCTCTGTCTGAGATAGCTTAAAATATTTTTCTTATTACGTCCTACCAACGCAGGCAAACCCAAAAACTTCTCATCCTCCCCTGCCAACCCAACTCCAAGTAATTCAATCAGACCCTCCCGGTAATTCGCCTCAACATTAGAGCTAAAAAATACCTTCGATTTATTAAAATTAATCACCTGGCCTGAAACACTTTCGTAATCTGCCAGCACTTCTTTAATCAAGGAAGCCTCATCATTTATTTATATATTTATGTTATATAAAGACAATGGATCTAACATATGCAGAAAATGTAAAAGGTCTAACCAAAACTGGTTTTCCTTCTAATGTTCCAACTTCCAAGGTAAAATAAATGGTGGAAACACCTTTTCCCTTGGTACTTGTTATCCTTCCCTTCCCATTTCCCCTATAACAAACATAGCTTTAAAATGTTCTTCATGTTGATTTACTTTTTTTTTCCAGATCAAGAGAATGTTGGTTTTGTATGTCAAGCCCTAATGTGGAATCACACCTGATTGTTAGTATTGGAGATTACTACTACTGCGCCCTTGCCAAAGGACCTCTAGTACCGGATCATGTGTTGATTCTGCCTATTGAGCATGAACCTAACACCTTGTCTCTACCATCTGAATGTGAAGTGGAACTTGAGAGGTTTCAGAACAGTCTCAGGGCTTACTTCAGAAAGAAAGGAAATGAAGCAGTTTTCTTTGAGTGGGTTTTTAAACGAGGAACTCATGCCAATCTCCAGGTACAAAGAACTGCCGCAACCAAGTACATTTTATCTACTAATTGTTTTATCAGTTTTCTTGTGGTTGTGGTATGATCCTGTGTTATACCTGAAACAATAAGTAGTTTATATCGTATTATATTCTGGCTACATTCATGAGACATGTTACACACAAGTATAATGGGCTTGGCCCACTCTCACTACTGGCAATCAAAACAATTAATGGACTAGGGAGTGTTTTTAATTCAGATTTAAATATTTAATAGATGGAAGGGGACCAGTTTAGTTATCCATGATGGTCCATTGGAAAGTCATCAAAGCAATTAATTCAATCTAGATCCATTCCACAAAACCCATCCAGTCCATCAATCAACATTTTTTAAAAATGGATATCAACTTCATCCATTTTCATATTACTTTTAATGTGTTGAGATCAATACTAATTGAACTTCTGTTCTGAACGTGCATTGTATAGGTTAATCCTAATTGAAACATTCTTTAATAAAAGGGGAAAATAATTTAAATATCCCAAACTTTAATGGGGTGTGAAATAAGTACCCTAAACTTGCATATGTATTATATATACCCCAAACTTTACATAAAAAGTTATTTTCACACCATGATTGTTTGATTCTCCACAAATATAAATTTATTGGAATAATTACATAATTTAAAATACTCTTATATTTTTTAGAATGCAATTAACATTCTAAAATTTCATTTATGAAATAAATAATATTACATCCGGTACAATTTAATATTAATTGTTTCCTTATAAATGCTTTGTGCATTTTAAATTATATATTCAACACCATAAAATTACAATTGTGAAAAAATATTGATCATGGTGCTAACATAACTTTTTATATAAAGTTTGGGGGTATATATATTACATGTGCAAGTTTGGGATATTTATCTCACATCCTTCAAAGTTTGAGATATTTAAATTATTTTCCCCTTAATAAAATGGCAACAACCTCAACATGTTCTATGCACTTAGTGAATACTGAATTGCTAGAATTGAGCATAATCAATAGTTCACTAACTATCATAAAAAAATGTTAGTGGTACACCTGTGTTTCTTCACCAATATCATTCCACAAATTGTATACTACCCCCACCTTGTAATTAAGTTCATAGTTTGACTTTCACTGTTTCATGGTCTTCAAAGTTGACATTTTAATGCCAATATTTACGATTATATACATATAATCTATAATGATTTAATGTTTCAATAATGTAAATTAAAATATACTCCCTCCGCCCCATTTTTTTTTTTTTGCAAAATTTCCTATTTATTTTTTCACTTTCTATTTTAAGTTAGAAATATAGACAAAGTCACAATTTTACCCTTACTCTTATCCTGGTCATTTTCTATCCCACTCACCCAACCATATCTTATCAACTTGTCCACACCCTCTTCGCTTTCTCTGCAAACAAGACCACGCTAGTGTAGCCGAAAGTCATACTCCCCTCATCACCGAAACCATAGCTTCAGAAATCAGGGAGAACTTGGGTTTTTGGGTCTCGTTATTTGCCTCACAAATGCTTAACACAGACAGCATCGCCGGAAGAAACTAGTTGCAGACACCCTTCCGAAATTAACCATGAGCTCAGCAATGGTGACAGCAACAGTACGTCGGGGCTGCACCCAGCTGTTTCCCATCTTCTCTCCCATCAACACCCCTCCTCAGATTTTCTTCCCAAAATGGACTCCTCCATGTTTGCAGCGGTGGTCCTGCGCGATTCTTGGCAAATGCTTCTGTCCGGCGGAGGAAATAATCCTCACTCCAATCAGTGCTCCAGCGTCAATCGTCTTCTCTGCCGTCCCTTTGTCGTCCGTGAAATTTTACCTTCATGGCTATCTAAGAACCTTGAAATACTGATATATACGGAGTACTTTCTTCTGGTTTTTACTTTTCCACTTTTCAGTTTTGTACTCTAGTTTATTATGAGAAGGAAAAAATGGTAAAGTCATTGTAAATTTATGTGTTCTTAAACCTTGTGCCGGTCAAGGTTTGCACTTCAATTTGGGACGGAGGGAGTAGCATTTAAAATTATTCTTGTGTGATAAAGTAATACTACTATGATTTTTGAATAACTTACTGTCAAAGTTAACAAAATTTGATTCAAGAAGTCAAAACATGAACTTGATTTTGGGACAGAGTATATTCCAACCAATTAACAGATCACATGGCCATAACCATACTTAAATTCTCTCGTGGATCGAGTAACGTCGAGCTTCTTCATCACATTTCTTCAAGAAATACAAAAAATCTTGTAGTTGTATCTTCTCATGTCACTCAGTGATCCCACCTTGTCAGTATTTAAAATTGCCCAGATGTCCATGATCAGCAAACAAGGTTAGAATTCCAAGCCATATAGATTATGAGATCTTTTAACTTGCATGCTTTGATATACTCTGGTACATTGTTGTTATGGCATCGCCTAGGCGCCAACTAGTAGTCCTGGCGGTGGAGGAGTACCACCATGCTCACTCGATTTGCCTGAAGCTGCCAAGGCGTAAGTCGGAGTCAATTAGGCGTCCGCAAGTCGCCATGGCGACGCCCAGAGCCTGCCTTTGCCGATCGGACCTGGAGTATTAGGTTTGAGGAGATTGTGATTTGTGAGTTATAAACATTTAGCCGTCAGCCAGAACCCTAGGCCCTCAAACAGTTAATCCCAGCGTCCAGGTCGCTAAAGCAGGTCGCCGTAGTAGGATTCCTCCTCAGTTCGCCATCATATATCGCCTCACTGCTCCACCTCCGCCTCCATCTACTCTCGCTCGCTCCCAGGTTTTTAAGGTTGTGGGATGTTCAGCCTTTGCTCATTTTTTTGGATTTATTTGCTTATATAGACAGCTGGACTCCATCTTATTTTTTAAGATATACTACATATTGCTTTTACTGTATACTACTTAATGTATAGTTTTCTTTTATTATTCTTGCTTTCATTTCATGTACAGCTGGAGTATTACATATTTTGTGATGTTTTCTTTGTGAAAAATTTATTGAACATCCGTTCTAGATAAATAATCTATTGTTTCATATTATTTTAATTTAATCTGTAATATATTTAAGTGGTATTACAGATTGGAATAGCCTTTTTTGCATTCAACAGCTCGCTGACAACAGAGTAAAATCAGGATATTTCATTTGTAGAAAGTGAATGTGCTTGTTTCCATATGAAAAACAAGTCTTTGAAAGGTCGAAATATAGGAATTATACTGGGTGAAAGGGACTGCTACAACAAACTTGCATAAATGGGCATCAAGCCATCAACCCTTTCCCAAACATTTCTCTCATGCTGAACTTATGTAGCCTTTTTGGTTAGATGATCAACAACCCCTTGTCCCATAAACCATAGCTCCACCACAGAGGCCCTGCCCTCTATTGATAATTCTGGGACCCATCTAAATTTTCATTGGTGATAACTTGACTACCTGATAAGTTGGAGACATACCTTTTGGCTGTCTGAAAGAATTTTGCGTATTAGTACTCTCATGTTTCACCTTGTGTTTTGGTTACTGGCAAAATGTAAACATTTTTTCAAGAATCGTCACAGGAGATAAAGAGTGTATGCACAGCTGAAAGTGCAAAGATGTAAATATTAGGCTAATGTAGGAGCAGTGTATGCACGGAAGACAAAATGCTCAAGGAGGAGGCTCTGATACTATGTTGAAAAGAGGATCTGTTATTATCAATACATCCTTTGATAATATATAGACATTAATAAGTGTCTAGCAATAAATGTAAAAGTATGCTCAATGAATCTAGACATGAGAATATTGATAGGAATCTGGCTTAGTAGGCTAATAATAGAATAAATAATAATAGTAAGTGTAGATTATTACAGATAATTACTCATCCGATGTAGCATTTATGAGGAGATATCTTAGAGATCTCAGAATCTCTAAATATCCCCAATTATCTTGTCTTTATTAGGGAATCTTAATTAGGAGGATTCCTTACTTCTTCCACTTTTCTCTAGCTATATATATTCTGTATTCATCTCATTGTATTACACAGAATAAGAGAAATAAAATACATTTTACTTTCTCAAGTTATTTCTACATGGTATCAGAGCATGGTTATTCTCTAAAATGATTAAGTTCGGATCCTATGGGATGACCACCGAGAGAGATGGATCTATCGCAGTCACTTCTGAACATTCAGAGGTTGTCCCAACTGGAGATGGCAACAACCAGAATATCAATGGAAGCACAGTCACCACTCCTAATCAGTCAGATTCGATTATTACTTGCCATAAACTGAATGGTAGTAAGTATCTACAATGGTCTCAGTCCGTTATGATGTATGTGTGTGGAAAAGGCAAGGAGGACTATTTGACAGGTGATGCACCTGCTCCAGATCAAGGAGATCCAGGCTACAAGAAGTGGAAAAAGGAGAATTATACTGTGATGTCATGGCTCATCAATTCCATGACAACCATTATAGGAGAAAATTTCCTACTATACAAAACAACTCAAGAGATCTGGGAGGCTGTGAAAGAAACATACTCAACTTCAGATAACACTTCTGAATTATTTGAGGTTGAATCAATGCTACATAACCTTCAGCAGGGAGAATTGAGTGTAACTCAATACTTCAACAACCTTGTGAGATTCTGGCAGCATCTTGATGTGTTTGAGACATACAATTGGTCATGTTCTAAGGATAAGAAGTTATATCAGGAGATCTGTGAAAGGAAGAGAGTCTTCAAATTCCTGTCAGGATTAGACAAGAGTCTAGATGAGGTTAGGGGCAGAATAATGGGAAAGAAACTCACCCTTAGAGAAGCCTTCTCAGAAGTCAGAAGAGAAGAAAGCAGAAGGAAGGTAATGATGGGTCTGAAATCTCAAGGTCAACAACAAAATATTGAAGGGTCAGCCTTATATACCTCTTCCAGACAGAATGAAAACAAGAAAAAAGGGAGGCCATACCAAAGAAACATGCTGGAATTTGCATGGTAAACCTAAAGATTTCAAACCAAGCAAAGGGAAAGGAGCTTATGTAGCTACT